AAAGAGAGCTCAGGAGGGTGTGTGTGGGGGGGAACCCCTGCTGCCCAAGTCGTAAAAAACGGAAGATATTTGACAAACCGGCTGCGAGTTGACACACGCGCGCGCACTCCGCGCTTCCTGCCCCCTCTTTTGTGTCCGGGGGGGGTAGGGGGGGTCCTGGGACCCCGTGGGAAGGATCGGGATGGGTGCGCCCCGCGGGAGGAGAGGGACCCCATCGGTGCACTGGAGCTAGGGAGCGAAGGGGGTCGGGACGGCGAACCCCGTTGGACACAGGGTTTTGTAGGAGAAATAGAACCGAAGGCACCGGGGCGTGGCGCCGCGCCCGGTCTGGGATTTTCCCAAGCACTTGGGAAGGAAAGCTGAGGCAGGGGGATGGCCTCGAGTTCCAGGCCAGTCTGCACTTTAAGCGGAGTTCTAGGTCAGCCTGGACTACACAGTGAAATCCTAGCTCCAAACATTAAACATACGTTTTTTTAGGGAAGAAAAAGCGAAATGAAGTCCCCAGAGCGCAGCCCCCAGCCCCCGCGCGTACACACTCGCACACACCCCGGGTGCGTTTCCTTCCGCCAGGGGACAGCGCGCACTCGCGACCCCCGCACGCCCGGACACTCGCGGACCGGATGAAGGTCTCCAAGGTCTACGGCCGCGACAGTCGGTCGAGTCACCCACCCAGCCCTACAGCCCCACACGCATCCCTGCCTAACTTTGGAGACCCCACACTTGTCGGTTTCCAGGGTGCTGGAGCCGTGCTGCAAAAGGCCTAACGGAGACTGCTCAGGGTGGCCCGGGGGGCGCATGCCCGGGTGCCCGGAGTCCAGCCCGGTGGTGGCCTCCGGTGGCCTCTCTCCCCTTTGGCCTCCCCCTGATGCCCGGTGCACGCTCCCGGTTCCGGGGTCACCCGCCTCACCGAATCTCCAGGCCGCGTCTACACCTCCATCCGTCCGGATCCGATAGGGACGAGGTCTCCGCGCGCGACCGGCCCCCCGCCCCGCCCCTCCCCCACCCGGCAGACGAATCGCCGAGTGACAAATTGCTCTCAGATGCAAATACCTCGCCGGTGATTCAGCAGCCCCGGGGACTCAGGAGAAGGTGGTGGGTGTCTCTCCGAGGTCCCCCTTTCCGAGCTTCCCCAAGACCTCCCCGGGTTCCCCCCTCCGACTCAATTTACGGACGCCCACGATGGGAGGAGGTGGAGGGCAGCTGGAAAGCCGCGACGGAGGGACGGAAGTTTTCAGGTCGCGGCCCCTTTAAATGATAATAAATAATAAAAGGAAGGGGGAACCGGACTGAGGGACGCCCCGCCCCTAGTTTAGGGACCGTGTGCAAAGTGCACGCCGCGGCCCACGGCGCAGAGCCGCGAGCGGAGGGCGGGGCCGCGCGGGCGCCGTCGAGGGGAATCAGAAGGGTTTCGGGGTTCCTCACCCCACCTGGGAGCGGAAAGCCGGCTGGGGCCCCGCTCGTTTCCTGGTTTCACCCACGTGAGATGGAGCAGCCGAGCTGGCGCTGGGCCTCCTGCCCACTGCGCTTACCGAACTTTTCCAGCCCGGGTCTCCACGTCTCTGAAATGGACTTAAAATCCCGGGAGAGCCGGGCGGTGGTGGCGCACGCCTTTAATCCCAGCACTCGGGAGGCAGAGGCAGGCGGATCTCTGTGAGTTCGAGACCAGCCTGGTCTACAAGAGCTAGTTCCAGGACAGGCTCCAAAACCACAGAGAAACCCTGTCTCGAAAAACCAAAAAATAAATTAAATAAATAAATAAATAAAATCCCGGGAGAGGCCAGCGCTGCAGAGGGGGGGGGGCGCGGAGGGGGCGCGGACGCTCGCGGGGGAGTGCGCTGCGTGCGCAAAAGCACGGAATTGGGCTGCGCGCGCGTTCGAGGAAATGCGAGGACCCGTGACGACCCCGCCTAAGAGCGAGGGAGGAGGACCGACCTTTAGCCGGCTCGGCCCTCCGCGTGCGTCTTGGTAGAGTGCCCGCTTTTTAGCCCCCATTTTTCGGGATGGGAAACTGAGGCACGGTGTGAGCTCGGCTCAGAGTTACCTAGTGGGTAGCGTCCGTGCTCAGGGCAACCCCCCACTTCTGCAAGCTCCCCGTGGGTAGTGCTTGCTGTTGGGGGCTCTTGAGTAGCCTGAGCCCCTCAAAAGCCGCTTTGAGGGAGAGGGCAAGTCCGGTGCGGCGGGTGATTCGGACGCCGCAGGTGGCCGCAGACGTCACCTCCACACCTTGACCTGTCGGGGCGTGGCCCCAGGGCGGAGCCTGCTCGTGCGGCCGCGGTCCTCCGCAGCGGCGCGGGGCCTGTGCGGTGCAGGAGCACACTGATCCCAACACCTTGTGGATCCCCTAGAGTTTGGACAGCGCTCCCCAAACCATACTGACCCTAGTGCCTAGATAGTGAATGCAGCCAAAACGTTACATATGCTACTCTACATATAAACTATCACTGTATGTGAAGCACGCATGGGCAGCCCATATATGGTGGCTCTGTTGAATTTGTCCACGTTGGGTTTCATGGTCTAAGCTGATGAAGGACGACTGACCAGTCTCTTCCTCATATGTATTTATGTATGTATGTGTGTATGTGTGTATGTGTATTTGTGTATATATGTGTTTGTATGCGTGTGTATATATGTGTGTGTATGTATTTGTATGTGTATATGTGTGTATATATGCATGTATGTATGCGTGCATGTATTGTGTGTATGTATATGTATGTGTGTATGTATGTGTATGTATGTATTTGTGTGTGTATGAATGTATGTGTGTATTTGTGTGTATGTATGTGTGTGTATGAATGTATGTGTGTATGTATGTGTATGTATGTGTGTGTATGAATGTATGTGTGTGTATGTATGTGTGTGTGTATGCGTATGTATGCAAACGGAGTCTGACAATGCACCACGGGCGCAGCCCTAGCTGACTATGTAGACCAGGCATGAGTACTGAGATTAAAAAGCACACACTATCACGCCTGGCAAAAGAATATTTAAAGGCAAATGCCGAAATCCGCTGGTCCCGTTTATGTCCGGAATGTATTTAGCCGAGGGTCCAGGTGGCGAGCTTACTGCCCGGCCTCCTAGGACCCAAACGTCTCATCTCCGGGGTCTTGAACCGCATCAGACTGGTTCCGCAAGGCGTGCGCGCCCCCTGCCGGGCGCCAGCGGAACTGCTCCCAGACTGGCTCGGTATGGAGTGCTGAGTGGCCGCCGGGTGGCGCCATTGCCCCTAAAAAGCCAGTTTCCCAAGTTAGACCGGAAGAAAATGAAGCCTGAAGTTATTTTCTCTTACATAGCTTTTTCTGTCTAGACGGGGTGTCAACGCGTAGCCCATGATGGCCTTGAATTCATGAACCTTCTGAGTTTATCACAAAGTTGAATTCCCAAAAGAGGCCCTGCGCGTGGCCACATCATTGTCTGACTTTTCCATTTTCTTCTCTTTTCCTTCTTTCTCTTTTGTTTCTTTTTGTTTTTCTTTTCTTTCCTTTTCCAAGACAGAGTTTCCCTATCCTGGAACTAGCTCTGTAGACCAGGCTGGCCTCGAACTCACAGCGATCCACCTGCCTCTGCCTGGGCTGGGATTAAAGGCGTGCGCCACCACCGCTGTTCTCCGATGAGCAGTTATGTGACCTCCCGTAGCCCCCCCTCTAAAACACCTCCTTCCCAATAGGTGATGGTACATGGACTTCTGGGGAGAGATTAACTTCAGAATGGATCTGTAATTTGGCGGTGATGATAGTGGAAGCTGGGGCCTGATTGGAGGAAGTGTGTTTCTGGGGGGTGAGACAGACCCTGGCCTCCCTGTGAGCCACCGTGTTCCAGCTTCATTCTCCCTCCATGGGGCCAAAAGGACCTTTTCTTCTTCCTCTGAGAGCCGGCTCAGTCGATGACAAGCTTGCCTTGCACGATTGAGGACGAGTTCGGTCCCCAGGACCCTGGTAAAAACCCAGGTCCCATGGGGTCAACTCAGCACTAGCTGTGGAGGCGCGAGGAGCCCTGGGACTCCTCAGACGCAGCCAGGTACTGTGTGCTGGGCGCCCTCCCCCTCTCCTGAGTTCCAGGCCAACCTGCTGACTCTAGTCAGGGCTACACAGCAGGACAGTCTCAGAATAACACCCAGAAGGTGGGGCTGAGAGACTCAAAGAGGACCCAGCACCCACATGGAGGCCAAGGGATCCCACACCTGGCCTTTGTGAGCTACCTGCTGGGGAACTGAGAGTGGAAGGCTAGGTCGAGCCCTTAGCTGCTGAGGAGTTCTCTCTCTTCTCTCCCACCTTTATATTGTGGTGTTTTTGTTGTTGTTGTTCTTTTTGTTTGTTTGTTTGTTTGTTTGTTTTAATGGCACAGGGCTTTTCTGTGTAGCCCTGGCTGTCCTGGAACTCACTCTGTAGACCAGGCTGGCCTCGAACTCAGAGATCCACCTGCCTCTGCCTCCCAAGTGCTGGGGTTACGAGTGTGTGCCACCACACAGGGTCCAACCTTTTGCATTTATTTATTTACTTATTTATTTTTCGAGGCAGGATTTCTCTGTAGCATTGAAGCCTGTTCTGGAACTGTTGTAGACCAGGCTGTCCTCAAACTCACAGAGATTCACCTGATTCACCTGCCTCTGACTCCAGAGTGCTGAGATTAAAGGCGTGTGACACCACCGGACAGGGTCTCAAGGTCGCGGTTGGAGATCAGGGTCAGCCTCAGCTACACAGGTTGGAGGCCAGCCTGGGCTACATGAGATCCTGTTTCAAAAAAGACAAGGGGTGGGGGAGAAATTTAGCTTAGTGGTCCAGCATTTGCCTAATAAGCACAAAGTCTTGAAGTAGATGCAGAAAGTGGGGACATTAATCTCCAAACTCTGCAGAGTGCAGAGAATTATCACAACCACAGCCAAAACCATGGCCCACAGATGCCCAACCGAAGAAGGAAGAGAAGGAGGTTTACACGGGTTACCCCGGACACACACTAAGCTTTTAACAACGGAATACAGGCTCGTTTATCCGGCAGGGGTTGGCTCAGAGTGGAACAGTTTGTTCTTGCAAACCGCACAGGGAGCGCACTGAAGGGTTTCCAGGCTCGGGCGTCCTGACGCCATCGGCGGGGTGCGCGGCCCGACTGTGCGGCGCAGTGTGGGTTGCGGCTCGGTCCGAGAGTGCAGACCCGCGGGATCGGCGCTGGCGACGCTGGCCACAGGGGCACACTCGGCAGAAGGCCTGTCTGAAGTGTGAGCCCAAGAAGGCGTAGAGCAGCGGATTGAGCGCCGAGTTGCTGTAGGACATGCAGTGAGCCCAGATCTTGAGCGCGTAGGCGGCGTAGCTGCGAGGGTGCCACGCCCCCGCGGGGCCCAGGGCTTGGAGCACCAGGAACAGCTGGATCGGGCCCCAGCAGGCAGCGAAGAGCAGGACCACGGCGGCCACCAGCCGGGAGACCTTGGTGCGCACTGCTCCAGCGCGCTGTGCCAGCAGCTGTCCCTGGTGACCCAGGGGTGTTAACGGGAAGGGACAGGACCCCCTCCGAGGTACCCCCAGGGTCCCCCACCACATGCACACACAGTCCGGGCTCCGATCGCCCCCTGTCGCCCCTCTATCCTCACCTGTGTCCCCGCATATGCACATACAGTCCGGACTCCAATCCCCTCCATCAGCACCGTGGGTCTCCCCTCCCCACGCGCGCGTGTACACACACACACACACACACACATAGGCACACACGCTCCAGTCTCCGACTGACCCCCCTGATGCCCTCCCTCCTGGCCCTGAGTCTCCCGCACCTGCAGGGCGCCGTCAGTGGGAGCGGGGCGCACAGCGGCGCGGCCCAGGTGGCGCAGCATGGCACCGTAGCAGGCGCAGGTGGCGAGCAGAGGCAGCAGGTACAGAGCCAGCAGGTTGTAGAGCGCGAAAGCGCGCTCCAGGGCACGGCTGGGAAACGCCTCGCTGCAGTAGGTGCGAGGCCCGGGCGACAGGCGGTGCAGGGCCAGCACCGGGGCGGACACGGCTGCAGAGCCTGCGCCACCCGCCCAGAATGAGCACCGTGGTCGGAGAATGGGGACAGGTCCCGCCAGGAGCCAGGGTCCCTTCCACCCCCACCAGTGCCACGCCCCTCCTCTGCGTCCCTGTCTCCCCGCCCCATTTCCATCCCAAACCGCACTCACCCACCCAGATGCTAAGACTGACAGCCAGGGCCAGTCGCGGAGTGCGGCGGTGCAGGGCGCGCAGCGGGAATACAGTCACATACCAACGATCCACGCTCATGGCCGTCAGGGTGGCACATGTGGCTTGCACCGAGACCTGGAAAAGCCAAGGACTGAGTGTGGGCCCTGCCAGTCCCACTACATATCTGACCACTCAGGTGTACACGAACATGTCCTGGGAGGAGCAGGCAGTGGCCATGGGTTGAGGGGACCAGAAAACTCGGAGAGCTGGAAGGGAGGGAAACACTGGGGTTTGTTAGGCATCCCGAACACACACAGTCCGGAACGCGCCCACTGTGGGCTCTAGCCCATGCCCACCGAGACTCACCAGCGTCCAATCAACCTTTGGCACAGAGACCACATGGGGCACCTGTGTTTTGGGGGTGTCCATCCTGACCACCCCTCCCTGCTCACACCAGCTCAGACCCCTGCCCTGAAAGACGGTGCCCTCGGGAACCTGGACAGACCGAAGAGCAGTTAGCGCATGGGCTGCCCCTGCAGAGGACCCGCGGTTCGGTTCCCAGCACCCACACGGGCCTCACAACCGTCTGTGACTCCAGCTCTGGGGACCCCACGCCTCCTTCTGGCCTCTGGAGGTACTGCACACACGTGGTGCCCAGATACTCCCAGGCAAAACACACACACACATACACACACACACACACACACGAAATAAAACCACATTTAAATGGGGGCTGGAGAGATGGCTCAGAGGTTAAGAGCACTGACTGCTCTTTCAGTGATCCTGAGTTCAATTCCCAGAAGTCACAACCATCTGGTGTCCTCTTCTGGCATGCAGGCAGAACACTGTATACATAAAAAAATGCATCTTTAAAAAATACACTTAAATGGCTCACGTTTTAAAACCCAGCACGGATCTCTGAATTCTAAGCCAGCCTGGGCTACATAGACTCTGTTTCAGAAATCTAAAATAAGCAAATAAAAGACCATGGCCTCATTTCTGATTATGCCCGATCCTGCGCACCCCAGACCCTGGCCATTCCTCCTACCCGCAGGCTCTCTGGTCTCGTCCACGTCCAGATCAGTCTCTCTCTCTCACCTCTCTCTCTCTCTCTCACCAGAGCGTGCGCCCAGCTCCCGGCCCCACCCCCACCAGACTCTCCAGGGCAGACCCCATTCCTGCTCCCCAGCTTCCTGCTCCCTGGCTCGCCCCCCAGCCCAGCCCGCGCACCTGCTGGATGTAGTTGACGAATTTGCACATGAAGTCTCCCAGCACCCAGGCGGGCAGCGGGTAGAGTAGCGCCGTGAAGGGGACGCAGCACAGTAGGAAAGTGACGTCTGTGGCCGCCAAGTTGGCTACAAGTAGGGGACACGCGGACGTTGGAAGGTGGGGGCACCCAAAGCTCCTGATCGCGGCCCCTGACTTCTCCATCCCGGTCCGAGGGACCCCCCCCCCCCCACGCACACAATCTTGTACCAGAGAAGCGGAGGCACCCTCCCTCCACCTTCGTTGCGCTCATTCCCAGCAGCCCCGGTGTCTCACCCACCTCTAAATTGGAGACAGCGGGTACCAGTTTGGGCGTGTCACACACACACACACACCACACCACACCACACCACACCACACCGGTCCCCTTCTGTCCAGAGGCCCTTACAGGACAGACACCTGTGGAAACGGTCACGTCTCCTCGCGCAGTCGTCAACCCACCCTTTGGTACACAGGCGGGACGCATCGCAGGGGAGGCTGGGGGGTGGACCCCACTCCCATCCTGGCACCCCAGGGAGGCGCGCACTCACCGATGTAAAAGTTGGTCACTGTCCGCATGTGCTTGTGGCGGCAGATGACGTAGATGACCAGCGAGTTCCCGATCAGCCCGAGCAACATGAGCGCAGCGAAGAACAAGGGAACCAGCCAGGCATCCAGTGGCCTGGGCGCGGAGCCCGAGCCGTCCGAGGCATTGGCACCGCAGCCCGGGCATCCCGACGCGTTGGTTGGAGCCCACCAGGTCGCGTTGGGACCCAAGGTCGCCTCGGTGGCCATGGCCCTGTCGCCTTCCTCCTCCAGGCAGCCTTCGCGGATTGCGCCCCGGGACTGTGGGAACAGAGGAAGGTCCCTACTCCGCCTCCTTATGGCCCCCCTCCCGGGATGCCAGCGCCCCGGGCTCTGCTGCCGGCGGAGGGGGCTGGAACGTGGCTCCTCTGCCAGCGTCCCTCAGTCGCAGCGGCCACTCTTATACCCCGCGCCCCCCTCCCTTGTCCCCGCCTTCACGTCTCCCTGCGCAGTAGCCTCTCCAGAGCCTCGCGCTGCTCTTCCCAGAGCTGTGCCCGGATGAGAGAGGAGGGAGGGCCCTGGGCACCAAGCAGGGGAGGGGTCCGTGGTCCTCCCTCCCTCGCAGGCAGGGCCCAGCTTCAGTCAGGGCTGCAGGCGGGTGGCCCGCGCCCTAGGGGAGGATGCCCAGCGTACGTCCCCGGGACAGTGGGAGCCACGTGAAGCTTAGGACAGGGGAGGGACCTTCGGTTCCCTTTGGTTGACTCCGATTGTTGGTTACAAGTTTCCCCTCTAATTGGCACCCAGAGGCCGGTCCCTGTCCGGAGTGGGCGCTGTGGAAACGGTCACAGGAACCGTGAGGGACTGACCTCAGCCACACTGTCACACTCCTGTTTACTGCATCTCAGAAGCTCCCTAGGGACCCCGAGATGTTATCCTTGGCAAGTCACCAGAATACTATACAGCAGAGAAAAATAAAACGAAGGTGTAACTCGGTGGTAGTGTATTTATCTAGTGTGGGTAAGGTTCACCCACACTGAGGGGGCAACTCATGGGGGGAGGGTCAGCAAATAGGAAGCCGCCCCGGGAATCCTAAAGGGTGTTGGGAGTGGGCAGCAGAAAGAACCCCTTCTCTGTCCACCCACAGAGCACTCAGGTGTGACGCCAGGAATCCAAGTCCCCACACAGCCCCCGGCCCTCGCTTCCCTCTGACCCGGTTCCTGCGCACAGGCCTCGCTTCACCTGTCTCCACGAAGCCTCGGAGTAGACACTGACTTTTGTTTTAATTAATTTATTTTTAATAGTTATTTTTTAAGGGATCAAAGGCGTGAGCCTTTTCACGTAGCCCAGGCTGGCCCTGAACTTGATGATGACGTCTAAACACCTCTCTTCTTGCCTCTTGTAAGAAGTGCTGGGAGGCCAGGGGTGCACCTGCCCTCCCCCCACTCCAATCCTGTAGCCCAGGCTGGCACTCTAATGATCCTCCGGCCTCAGCCTCCGGAGTGCCGGGGCGTGCACCACGGTCGACCTCCCTCCACGCGCTCCACCAGGCTGGCACTCCCTCCCGCCCCAGCAGCCGGTCACAGTTTAGCAGTCGCCTCCCGGGGAGCGTCCCACCCTTGCCCAGAGTCCGTCTTCAGCCCGGCGGGTGACGCCGCCCAGTGTCTACGGAGAGGGAAACGGAGGCAGGGGGTCTACTCCCACAGCTACCCCACAGCAGCCGAGGTTGTTCCCGGGCTGTCCCCGCCCCGGGCCGCTGCAGACTCCTCCCCGCGCGTCACTTCCTCCGCGGCCTCGGGCCGGGCTGCAATCGCGGCTGCAGGCCATGGTGGCTCTGGACGACCCTGAGGGCGGCCTGGAGGCGACCCCCGGCGCGGAGACCAGGCTGTGAGCAGGGTTGCGGGGCTGACCTCTTCCCTCCTCCTCGGACTAGGGTCTCCTCCTCCTCCCCAGGCTGGGGTCTCCTCTCCACATTTTCCTCCCCAGATTGGGGTCTCCTCTCCCCCTCCTCCTCCCCAGTTTGGGGTTTCCTCTCCTCCTCCTCCCCAGATTGGGGTCTCCTCTCCCCTTCCTCCTCCCCAGGATGGGGTCTCCTCCTCTGCTCCCTCCTCCCTGCCCTTCTCCCCAACTCCCCCCACGGATGTGTTCTCTCTCTGCCCACACCCCTTTCCCTGGCTGCTCACCACAGACCACCCCTACCCCTCACGCCCCCACCCCCACTCTATGGGGAGGTAGCTAACTGTGCCCACAGGCACCTGGGCATTTCCTGCCCCAAGGCTGAGGCGCTCAGCAGCACTGGTGAGCCTCTACCACTCAGCCCCCTCCGAGGGCCCCCATGCCCTCCACTGCTTCAGCAAGTGCTGCTCCTCAGGAGTCCTGGTTCTGCCCCCCCCTCCCGTGTCAGAGCTGGCTTGGTCTCCAGGCAGGCTGCTGAGCCCCGACATGGGGAAGGTGGCTCAGGACCCACAAAGCCCTGCTTTTGCGGTGTCCAGAAGTCCTTGGTCCTATTGGCTACACCTTTGCCTGTTGGGTTTATTTAAATTTAATTAAAAAATATTTTATTTTTACGTTCATGGGCATTTTGTCTGCACATCTGTGTGCACCCTGAGTGTGTAGTACCCGTGGAGGCTGGAAGGGGGCGTCGGGTCCCCAGAGCTGGAGTCACAGGCGGTTGTGAGCCCCTGTGGGTGCTGGGAACGGACCCTGGTCCTCCTCAGGGGCAGCTCTTGCTCCTCTCCTGGCCTTCCTCTGTTTGTTTGACTTGGGTCCCTCTAGCCCAGGCTGACCTCAGGTTCTCTCTGACCTTCTGGTCCTCCCTGCCTCTACCTCCTGGGACCCCGCCTAACTACCTTACCGTGGTTCTGGTGTAAATAAGTCTGTGTTTTGGTGAATTGCTGCTCATCAGGGCCTCACCCAGGTGTCCACCTGTCTGTAGGGTGTTGGGGGCGCTGAGTCACCTCCGCCTTGCTCCCTGTTGGGGAACTGGGTTCTCTGCCGTTCTGAGAGTGTTTGCCAAAGATGTGTTTACCTGGGGTGTGTCTCAGCAAGCCAAGGTCCCATTGCCCAACCATCAGGATACAAAAAAGGAACTGTGTTCCTCAAACCTGGCTGACTTAGCACTGTCGGCCTTTGTTCTAGCGACCCCTTCCAGGAGCCGGTCACTTTCCGAGGCACAGACTCCTCCTCTAGGTCCTCAGCTTCAGTCTCTGCGAAGCAGCCTGGTTATGGGGAAGGAAGTGTTAACTCGACAAGCCCCACGTTAGTTCATTGCTCTGGGCTGCCTGCTGGACAGTCGGGAGGCCAGTGAGAGCTGAAGGGGACCCAGCTGGTTCCCAGTTGGCACAGCAGCAAGAAGTGTTGACTGGGCTGGCCGTGCCAGCTTCTGGGAGGTGACATTTGAACAGAAACCAGAATCAGGCCGAATCAGAGGAGGTGTTTGCGGCAGGGCCTGTGCAAAGGCTCGGAGGCCTGGCAAATTTGAATTCAGGGAGCAGTTCCATCTCTGGGAGCCCTTGAGACCCACAAGAGGGTGGTGATGTCCCCACAGCCCTTAGAACTGAACACGGACTGCAGGCCAAGGAACGCGGAGGGCTTGCCCTACGGGTACTGGGGAGCCGTGGTGGGTCTTGGTCTGACTGGCTCAGCTGTCCAAACGGGACCCAGGTTCACATCCGTCTTGTGTCTGTGTTTCCTGCGGGACAGCTGCGGTTTGTTATCAGCCTGCACCAACTGCTGGGGTGCGGCTTTGAAGGCCTGGGGGTGAGGGTAGGCCAGAAGTGGCCCAGCCTCAGGCCTCAAAACCGACATCAGGCCCACCTGAGGCTGGGAGAAAGTTGGTAGCTGGCCTAGCAGCTTCTGCAAGGAGCCTCAGGCCTCACCCTGCTCAAGGGTGATCCAAGCAGGTGGGTGTCCCTGCCCAGGCTCGGGTTCACAGGGCCCTTTTTCAGCGCCGTCACTGGTGGCCTGGGGTTGGGACCCCACCAGAACTGAAGCTCCAGGCCCCAACCCTGCAAAACCCCCACAATGGGCCGTCTGGGGCCTGGGTGGCTGAGCCTGCTGTCTTCCCCGATCTGTCCGCTGGGTTCCCGGGTGCCCAGCTAATCCCTCCACAGGATTAGCACCGTCTTCAGGAGTTAGCTCTGAGGGTGGCTGGCGGGCGTGCGGGCTCCTGTGGGGAGGCTCTCAGCTGGGCTCCTTCACCTTCATCAGCCCCCACCCGGGTCAGGTGCTTGTCACCTCGAGATCCTGCGGCTTTTTCTGGTTTACAGGGTGTGTGGGAGAGGGTCCACTTCTGGGGGGTGGGTTGGCTCCAACCCTTGCACTACATGGGGGCCTTGATGGCTTGTGGTTTAAATCTGGGAGGCTGGAGTGGCTGGAGGGGCCACCTCTCCTCTGTGACTTCCCTTCTCAGAGCCTCAGTTTACCCCTCTTGTGTCATAGCTCGAGTCCTGAGAATCCATGGGGCCCGAGTCTCCACACACAGGGGCCTGAGTCTCCACACACAGGGGCCTAGAGTAGTGGGAGTGTGTGTGTGGGGGTAAAGCTCCGTGTGGCCAGAGACACCTAGCAGGTCCTGTCTGGGCACTGATGGCCTCCTCCTCCCCTGGCCCACAGGCCCCTTCCTGGCTGCCTGCCCACGCTGGGCTGCTCACAAGTGAAGAGGGTCTCAGCCTCCAGACGCAAGCAACATTTTATCAACCAGGCTGTGCGAAATTCGGACCTGGTTCCCAAAGCCAAGGGACGGAAGAGCCTGCAGCGTTTGGAGAATAGTAAGCAGGGCAGTATGCCAATGCTATGACCCCCTTGCTGGGAAACACCCATTGACCCGGCACTAGAGTCAGGGCTCCAGAGGGTTTCTAGGATTTTGGGAAGGCAAGGAGAGGTAGATGGGGCTCTAGAGACTGGCTGGGTAAAAGAGGGAACAAAACAAATCTTGGGACAGCAGAAGTGAGTAGGTACCCCAATCACCGCCTCAACCCACGGACCCTCTGTTTCTATCCAGCCCGGTACCTCCTAACTCTGCTGGAAACAGCTGGGGGTTCTCCAGGCCCGGAAGATGGGGACCTGACTCCTCCTGCGGCACCTGGAATCTTCGCAGAGGCCTGCAGCAACGCCACGTATGTGGAGGTGAGACTCTGGGGTCCCCCGGCAGCCCCTGAGATGTGCCCACCCCTCCCCGGTGGGCTCTCCATATTAGAATAGAGGACCCCGTTACATGAGAAGATGTCACTCAAGGTACATCCCCGACTTCCATGGAGTGAGTGGGGTCATGCCTGCTGAACTCCAAGCATCCTTTGAAACCCCCACAGCATTCAGCTCAGGCCCCACACATGTGAGACATTTGTCAG